CTGCAATCATCTCTCCTGAAATGGTGTCTCTGCTTCCATCTTTTCTCCCACTTCACTCTTTACATGTTATCCAGACCCACCATTTCAAAAGATAAATCAACCCATACCATCTCTTCTTCAAGACCCAATAAAGACTCCTCATTTCACTAGAGTAAAGGCCAACATCCTTACAACGGCCAGCATGGCCCTTCGGAGCAATCTGACCTCCTCTCCAGCAGTCCTCCTTCTGTTCACTCCACTCTGGGCACACAGGCTTCTTTGCTGTTCCCTGAACTCAGAAGCACACTCCTGTTCTCAGGCCTCATGCTGAAAATGCCTCCTCCTCCCCAGATGTCTGCTAGCAGACACTGAAAACACTGCTCAAATCTCACTTTCTCAATACAGCCTCCATGACCTCATGACCCCATACTCTGGATTCTGCTTTCTGATTTCTTGCTCATGTGAGTCCAGTGTAAATCGGTTGAGGAGCTCTGATCCATCTACCAGCCCCCTTTCATCTAAGGACTTCTGCCTCTACCAGTTTCTTTGGAGATCCTTCCATGTGACCAGTGTCTACTGGGAGTGAGAAGGGTAAAGAGAGGATGAGAGGACACACCTGATTAAAACAGCCTTGACCTAGAAGTAACACAGGTCACTTGCAAATATGGTTCTGTATTTGGTGAGACCTAGTCATAGGGCTCCATCTGGGGGCAAGGAGGATGGGCTGTATCACCTACGTGCAGGTCTAGGAAGAGAAGGAACACATGGGTATTGGTAGGTAATTCTAATCACAAAATACATTTTTCCTCCCTCTTCCTACACATAAAACACACTCAGGCCTCTCCCAAGAGAAAACCTGAGGTCCTGTTCAGTCAGTGCATCTAAAGACAAGTCCAGGGCCTCTAGGTACATCACAGTCTTCTTTAACAAGATCATGTGTAGCTCCTTACGATGTAAACCAGGAACAGATTATCTGCACCCAGCATCCCCATTCCACTACACGATAAAGGAACATGAGCAGGAGGCTCTTCCTTATCCAGTGTACTCCTCGGCAAAGTGGGCTCTGGCATGCCCTCGGCGGGGGCTGTATCACCTTCACAACCCACCTCTTCCCAGAGCAAGCTCTGGGTCCTTAAAAAGTTGTTTAACAGCTCCAATAGTCAAGGGCTTGTTAAGCTCAGGCTCATGGTTCCTTTGCCAACATACAATTCCCTCAAAAACTTAATAGGCCTTTGATCTATTTGTTTGCAGTCAGTTCCATGTGCCAGTAACCACACACGAAGTCCTTTCCTAGACCTAATTCTCAAGCCTGATTTATGTCTTTGCCTCCATTCCTCTTGCTTTGAACTAACAGAGGCCACCTGGAGGCCATATGAAACAACAGGTCAGCAGTTCCCAACTTTGGCTGCATAAAAGAATCACTTGGGGGAACTTTTAAAAACTACCTTATCTAGGTTTCATGTACCTTTGACCCATTAAATCGGAAGCTATGTAGGTGAGAGCAAGGGGATTCTGATGAACAGCCAAGAACAAGAACTCGTGCCCTAATCTGCTCTTCACCCTAGGACTAAGTCACCTTTCTTTGACTGAGAAAGTTCTCTATGCCTTTATTGCCCAAAGCCTTTCTCACTCTTACCTACTGCTCTCTCCGGGGTCTATAAGCAATCTGTTTTTCCTGTCACTGCTCCAACTGTCAGAACTTTCTCTAGTCCCTTTCATTTTTCGCTTGAAAACTTGCTAATTCTTTCCTAAGCTCATCTCTTCCTTGTCATATTTAACCAAAAACAGTCAACACACACACTCCAATCCTTTCCAACCTTTGACCTGGAGCTCAAGTGGCATGAAATGTGCCTTCTAAGTTACCATGGATGATGACAAATGTACCCATTTGGTCACCATTGCATGGGTTTCTGTCCTTCCCAACTCTAATATCAGTGTCCTCATCAGGGCTATTTGGCTGCTAAGCCAATGACACAGATTTCAAGGTTTTGCTTTAACAGAACTCTACTTCCAGTACCAACTACTATAGCAAAAACTAAACCCTCAGTAGCTTAACACAAAGTTTCTCTCTTGCTCCCACCAGTCAAGTAGGTTGGCAGCACACTCCTCTCCACCCATCATTCAAGGACCTGATTTCCTTTCATTTGTGGTTTTACCCTCCTCTGGGTCCTAATGAAATTCTCTCCACTAAGCTGGCAGAGAGAAGAGAAGAGGCACTCAGCTATCATCAGTCTTACTCTGGGAAGACGCATATCACTCTGATCACATTCCACTAATAAGTGCTATTTATATGGTCCTTCTCACATACAGGGAGGCTGAGAAATGTGGTCTAGATGTATGCCCAGCAAAAACAAGAAAACAGCAATGCCAGTGAGCCGTAATGGCCTTTTATATCCCTTAAAATTTAAGCCCCACAAGGGCAGGAATCTGTCTGGTTTGCTCATAGATGTATCCTAAATGCCTGTAACGGCGCCTGGCACACACAGTAGGAGCTCAATATCTTTTGAATGAATAATGAATGCACAGGATGAATCACATATGATACTATATGGCATTTTTTTTCTAAGATAAAGTCAAATGAATGGATTGATGACTAAAAGGATAAATGAATTGCACTGCATAGTTACTTAGGTAAAACATTAAACAGAAACTTTTGGAAAAAATTAAAGTAAAATCCTAAGCACCAATAGAACACCTATCAAATCTACGATACAAATTCATATACAAACTTGTTAAATGCACACTAAATTTGTCTCTTATGAGATAAATTATAAATTTCATATATGTATATATATAAATTATAAACACAATGGACAATCTTCAAAGAAATTACCATTAAAGGGGTTACACCTATTTTGTTAGTGGAAACTTCTTTACCCACATCAGTCCCAAAATTCACTCACATCTTCCTCAAAGAACAAGGGCACTACACATATAGTTCTAACCTTGGAAACAAGTTACACACACACACTGCTAAAAAAACCTAACCAGTATGCATCAGTCATACGTAATGCATATACTCTTTAAAATTCAGAACCGATACCAGCTTCATGCCTATAGTACTTGATTTTTCTTGAAATCTTCAGTCACTATAACAAAAATGAATGAAATTTTAAAAACAACAACAAAGTTGAAATAACAACAAATGGGGACATGGCTTATTTTACAAGAGTGTTGTGAGGATCAAGCAGAAGTAGAAGAATTCACTTGTGATTTCTGTACTTTCATTGATATATGTTTTTTTTAACTCAATGCCAAAATTCAAGAGCATATGAAATGCTGGCTTTTAAATCATAAAGCAATATTCAGCCACTTATCTTTAAAAAAAAAAGTAAAATCCCCTTTTCTAAAAGGGCTACAAATTAACTAAATGAGCAAGTTCTATCTATGATGAAAAAGAAGTTTTTCACTCTATTCCCCTAACATCTAGCATGAGAACTGTCAGGAGAAACATGCCAATGAATCCAATCATTATAATGGTAACAGAGCAAAGAGCTATCTCAGTGTTGAGAATTAGACCCCAAATAAAAAAACAGTGAGAAAAACACTAATAAATCAATTAAGTGGGACACCCGTACTTTCAAAAAGGGAAAAATAACAACTTGAATTATTTCTATTCAGTGAAATCTCTATTAGAGATTATCTTTATTCAGTGAAAGAAGAACCTACTACATTGTAATTTTTTTCCATTGCTTGTTTAAAAATTTTAAATAATCACTCCTCAACCAAAAAAATACTGGAACTTCCAACACAACAAAACCCAGGAGAGGATGTTCAGTTTAACGAAATTTTATGGTTAAGTGTAACTGAAAACCTAACTGATTAAAAAAAAAAAATTTCTCTAACGTGTCAGAGATGTAAGAAGTAAAGCGTACACATGGGTTGAAATTTGTTGTGTGTGTGTGTGTTTTATTTAAAACCAATCCTTAATATGAGCTTACTTGGCTTTTTTCTTGATTAAGTTTGAAGAAGGCTAACTAGAAGAAAAAAGAAAGAAAAAAAAAACCCTGATAACTGAAGCTAACACTTAAAGTCCAGTAGGATGACCCAGGGTAAGAACCTAAATCCTAAATTATACCTGTGACACTATATATTGTTCTATCCTTTAGCAAACCAACCAACAAACCAACCAACCAACAAAAACTAGAGGGAAAAGTTTTTTTAAATGAGTTTTTGGAAATAAATGGATGACATTTTAAAAATTCTGAAAATAAATTGAGAAAAGGGAAGAAAAATGATTGATGCTAAGCTTGTTAGGTGATTTATAAACACCAGAGGAAACTCACACATCCTCCAACCAAATATTGTTATTTACAGGACTGCTTTTGAAATTAAGGACACCAGGGCGCCTGGGTGCTCAGTGGGTTAAGCACCTGCCTTCGGTTCAGATCATGATCCCAGGGTCCTGGGACTGAGCCCTGCGTCGGTCTCCCTGCTCAACTGGAAGCCTGCTTCTCCCTCTCCCACTCCCCTGCTTGTGTTCTCTCTCTCCCTGGGTCTCTCTCCATCAAATAAATAAAATCTAGGAAGGAAGGAAGGACGGACACCAATGTGGCAACTGTAAGATACCATATTTCCCCAACTTCAGAGAGAGAAAAATTTAACTCCTTCAATTCATGCAGTTTTCTCTACAACATTTAAAACCTAGAGACGTGTACGAAATATGCTTGAGAAAAAGAACTTTAAATCTTAATAAAAGCTCAGAGAGTAAGCTTTGAGGGTTGCACAGTTTTAAAATAAGAAGACCCTTCTCAACTTACTTTTCCATTTCAAATTGTAATCGTATCTCCATCTCCTGGGACTTTAAAAATTCTCCTTTTAAAATCAAGTGGTGAAAACAAACAAACAAATAAAGCCAGGTGACGAAGCACAATGTATCTGTGGTCGCGGTCAGAACCGTGAGCACGAAGACTGGGCTACCCCGCGTCCTCACTGGTGAGGCCTCCAGTAGGAGGCAGCCGGCACTGTCACCACAGAAACAGGGTAAGGGCGGAGGACACAGACAGAAACAGAGCAATTACCCAAGACGAGTGCTCCTTCATCTGGTGTTGGTTGCTGTGAGGGCCGCTGGCATGGCCGCGCCAGAAGCAGTTCTGGCAGAGCTGGTAGTTGTGGCACTGCTGGCATCGGTACCGGAAGCCCATCATGCTCTCGCAGCGGCAGTAGGAGCACTCCACGGGGTGGAAGACTGCAGAAGGCAGAGAGGGGGACAGGAAACAGAAAGAAGCCATTTTCATTTGGAGAAAGAAGGTCCATATGGGGAAAACCAAACCTCATGGAAACAAGCAAAGGTGAAAACCATATTAGAACCGAAACTCCTAAATTGTCTCCCAGTTAAAGAACCAGCCATTTACTAGAATAAAAGGGGAAGATAACAGATGAGAATAGGTTTTCAAGTTAGAATGTTACATTCCAATCCACCTGAGAAAATAACCAATTTCTTTTTTTTAAATGAAATTCGTGTTTACTAGAATGATAAATGTATGATAAGGATCATAGATGATAAATACATATGGAAAGAAGAAAAAGAAGCCTTCTCAGTCTAAAATTTATTTTCCAGGGGCGCCTAGGTAGCTCAGTCGGTTAAGCATCTGCCTTCTGCTCAGGCTATGATCTTGAGGCCCTGGGATCAAGCCCCATGTTGGGGGGGGGGGTCTCTACTCAGCAGGAAGCCTGCTTCTCCCTCTCTCTCTGCCCCTGCTCATGGGCTCTCTCTTTCACTCACTCTCTAATAAATAAATAAAATCTTTAAAAAGAAATCTGTGCTCCAAATTAAAACTATACAATCTAGGGGCACCTGGGTGGCTCAGTTGGTTACATGTCTGCCTTCAGCTCAGGTCATGATCTCAGGGTCCTGGGATTGAGTCCCGCATCAGGCTCCCTGCTCAGTGGGGAGTCTGCTTCTCTCTCAGACCATCGCCCTTTTCGTGCTTGCTCTCTTTCTCTCTCAACTGAAAAAAATCTTTTTAAAAAATTTAAAAATTAAAAAAATAAATAAAGCTACATAATCTAGTAAAGGTCCGCCAAAGAACACTACTCCCAAATCAGTCTGGAGGTCACATCAACACAGGTGACAACAGCATACTGGTATTTATAATTCTGTACAATTATTTTGGTATGTACATTAGTATTAAATTATCACGTATATTCTGATCATCTTGGTTGAACATGAATATCTATTATTTCTCTCCTCTTTTATACCAGCCACACATCAGACAGAGAACCAGAATGTGGAGAGAACCACCAAGTGTACTGAGTCAATCATAAGATCAGGTTTTGGTAAAAGCATTCTTTTTTGGAAGAATACATCACGTTGTAATCTTACACACAATATACTTGGATTAGTAAAACAATACAAAAAGTATAACTTTTATGTAAGTAAATAGATATATGTCCTTATAAATAGTAATTTCTATATAATTCAAGTGATGAATTTCGTAGAAAGGGCCCAAACAACTACAACAATAGAAATACCATATAGAAATACAGAAATACCATAATGTTATGATTTCCCCACCATAAAAATTAAGATATATAGATAAATGTTATTGTGATAAATAACATGTTTTATCTTCAAGATATGTCAATGAGATCATACTATTTCTCTGTCCCTAAGAAAAAAATCACTAACCTCATAAGAATGTAATCAACAAATAATACACTATATACAAAATCACAATAAAATGTTCATATGGATAACAAAAATCAGGACAAATGAGATTCTTTCCTTATGGTATAGTAGATACAAAATGATTTTATGAAGGGGGTATAGCTCAGAGGTAGAGCATTTGACTGCAAAATGATTTTATGAAAACAAACTGAATATGACACACTTCAAGCTTTGAAAGTATTGCCTCCAAAAGAACTAATAATACTCAATAATATAATAATTTAACAGTATAAATCTCTATCTGAAAATCCTGTTTAAAAATTTAGCTGTTTTTTGGGGCACCTGTGTGGCTTAGTTGTTAAATGTCTCCCTTCAGCCAGGTCATAACCCCGGGGCCCTGGGATCGAGCCCCACATCATGCGCCCTGCTCAGCAGGAAGCCTGCTTTTCCCTCTCCCACTCCCCCTGCTTGTGTTCCTCTCGGTGTGTCTCTGTCAAATAAATAAATAAAATCTTTTTAAAAAAAATTTAGCTGTTTTAGTCAAGAGATTCTACACCTTTAAGAAAGTAATCCTGAATCTAAGGTTCCTGTGAACTAAAGCCACAGTGGCACAAAAGGCTGAGAGGTTTAAAAACAAAAGGTACAGATGAGAGAGGGAGAAGACAGAGTATGGATGTGCATTTCATTCTTACAAAGGGAATAAGGGAGCTCTGCCTTTTCATGCTTCTCAGATTTACTGGTTCTCTTTGGCAGAATAAGAAACAGGCAAGAGCCTTGAGAGGAGGGAAGGAGGTTACATAAGAAACGATAGCCCTGGGGTGCCTGGGGGGCTCAGTGGGTTAAAGCCTCTGCCTTCGGCTCAGGTCATGATCCCAGGGTCCTGGGATCGAGCCCCACCTTGGGCTCTCTGCTCAGCAGGGAGCCTGCTTCCTCCTCCCTCTCTGCCTGCCTCTCCCCATACTTGTGATCTCTGTCTGTCAAATAAATAAATAAAATCTTAAAAGAAAAAAAAGGAAAGAAACTATAGCCCTTCCTTTAACAAACTCATACAACCTAAACAAGGAGATAAACTGATAACAACAGAAGAAAAAATTAAGTTACTGGAGGTAAAACTACCTTTTCAATTCTAACCAAGACAAATATTTAAGTCAAATTCCTCAAAAAGGTACCAAGAGTAATTCAAGATAAAACAGTAAAGGCAGAAAGCGAAGATATGTGAAGTACCAAATTCTATCACAGCTATTTTCCTTTAAACTGTTCCAAAATCATTACAGTGTTAGTGCTTGATACTGCATACATCTAATTTTTTTATAACTGTATAAATTAAAGATAAAAAAGGAAGTCAGGTCTAAATCAGATGGGTTCAAGTGACTGTCAGTGGGGGAAAACCCAGAATTTGAACCACAAAGTTTTATGACCTGATATTACTATTTCTTGGTATCCTAAGTAATAAGCCCTCTTCCCCTACTTTTCCTTGAGAAATAAATATTCCTCCTTCGAAGGGCGCCTGGGTGGATTAGCAGGTTAAGCCTCTGCCTTGAGCTCAGGTCATGATATCAGGGTCCTGGGATTGAGTCCCGCATCAGGCTCCCTGCTCAGCGGAGAATCTGTTTCTCTCTCACCCTCTCCCCTTCCCCCACTGCTTGAGCTCTTGCTCTCTCTCTCATGCTCTCTATCTCAAATAAATAAATATAGTTTTTTAAAAATCCCTCTTTTAAAAGCAAAAATCACTAATTCAAAGGACACAGTGACAGCAAATATCAATTTTAATTTTCAATGGTAATAGCTAAGGACATTACAAATACCATCAGTTCCTGTATTTCCTGTAGCACAAGAGACTGAATGATCCAAATTCTGCTTACCATTCTCAACATGGGCGAGCCTGTGCATGAGAGGTAGCCAGACAAGGCACTGGGGAGGAGGATCGGCCATCATTGTGTCTAAAAACATATTTAGCATTATCTTCTTCTGTGAAGAGAAGAAAAACAAACATACCTTATATTCTTCAAGTATTTCTGAATTCCAAAATTAAGTTAATCTAGAATTCACTCAACCAAGTTGTAATGAATTCCATGTGAAATTCTACAGCAAAATACAGTAATATTTTTCATTACGATAAAACTGAAACACACTATACGTTACTATTGTATTCAAATGCACTTCCGCATACATTATTTTGAGTCTTAAAACAACTGTTTAAGGTAAATAGTTAAGGTATCACTATCTCCATCACAGATGAGAAAATAAAGGAACAGAGCATTTAAAATGACTTCTGAAGGTCCTGGGGCACCTGAGTGGCTCAGTTGATTGAGCGTCTGACTCCTCTTTTCAGTTCAGGTCATGATCTCGGGGTTGTGGAATTGGGTTTCACATCAGGCTCTGCACTCAGCGGGGAGTCTGCTTGGGATTCTCTCTCCCCCTCTCCCTCTGCCCCTTTCCTGCTTGTATTCTGTTTCTCTTTCTCTCTCAAGTAAATAAATAAATCTTGGAGGCGGGGATAAATAACCTGGAAGGTCCTACCCAAATCCGACACAAAGCAAGGACTGGAACTCAGCTGTCCTTCAAATTACTATTTCTATTACCGATGGGGAGACAGACATCACACACCCCATTATAAAACATCAGCAAGAGCAGGAACTACTCCATTTGTTGTTTACTGTATTTCCAGCATTTCGTAACAGTGTCAGGCACACAACACGTACTTGATAAGTAATCACTGAATAAATACTAATGTGGGGAGCAAACACTGTTAAACATCACTTAACAACTTTCTCATTTACAGAAAGAAAACTAGAGTGCAGAGTAGTGAAGTAATTTGACCCAGTCACAAAGACAGTTACAAGGATGAAAGAAGAGTCTTAACATCCAATGTCTATCACTACCCCATTATACCAGCTCCCCAGCTAGATTGCATTTTTGTGTTCTGTCTTTATTTCTCTTTTAAACAAATACACACAAAGCTTCCATTGCTTGTGAAACACCAACATAATTACATCCCAGTGGACATTAAAAATCCTAAAACAGTCTAGAAAAAATAGTCATGTGATGTAGATAGAAGAGATTCTCAAGAATTTTCAAATTGATGAATTTTCTTTTTATTTCCTCTAACCCACAAAACACCTTTGCAGCTCCAAACGGAAAGGAAAAAGGAAGAAAAGGGAGCACCTTACAACTACATGTGAGAGTTCTGTCATTGCACCTTGGCCACCTCGGCCACCCCACTTCAAACTTGATTCCAAAAGAAGGGCAGAGACAAAAGGGAAGACATGGAAGAGTAGGAAATGCAGGACCAATAAGAACGTAGGACTTTTCCAAGTCCTGGTCCCACCATTCCAAGGCAGGGGGAGGGACTGAGGACTAGGAGCAAGTGGACACCAAAAGGCACCCAGAATTTCATCTTAGTCTCTCCCAAAAAGTGTGTTCTCAGTTACACCGCTTTTCTTGAAGTGATAACAGGATATACAAAATGAGGTGCTTCCCCATAAAACTTTAAACTACTTTATATGGGGGAGAGAGAAAAGATAAAATTGGTTAGAGCTGACCGAAAGATTTTGCTGGCGTATGACAAGATAAGTGATTTTTACCACTAATCTATTCACCAGGAACAGAGCAAAGAGGGAAGGCACTGTGGTGATAAGTCAGGAAGGTGGATGCCCCCAGCATCTGCCATCATGATACTTCTCCAACGATGGTTCCCATCATACAGACAGACTACAGACTGACTTCTGTGTATCTTTCTGGCAACGATGTGACTCTTGACTCCATTGTATGTAAGGAGATCATTCTTATTAATGAAAATCTTTAAAAAAAAAAAAAAGAAATTGGTAAATAGGGAACAGAAAAGGGAAGATAAAGTAGACAGCAGAGCAAGAAAGAGGCTTTTGCAATAAAACCTTGACGAAGATGTAGAAATACAAAGGAAAGCCTCCGATCGAGGACAGAGATTGGAGCCCAACACTGAACAGGGGGAGGGAAGGGGGAAGCACGAGGGCTGACTGAGGGTGATAACAGTAGGAAGTTACCATCTGAAGGCCCTTGACAGAAAGCCGTGCTCTGGCGGTGAGGTTTGAAAAATACCTACTCGAGAAGGCTAAATAAAGTTTTCCGAAGTATTTTCCATCTCCGGCATCCAAGTCACTGACGTTTCTGAGACCTCAGTGGAACCTCAGAGGAACAAATGAACAACATTTAAAATAAAACCAGAAAGTCACCGAACATTTAAACGGAGGGACAGATATGGAAAATGCCTCTAATTATGGCGATGCAGACAACTGCAACAAAGCAAAACAAACAAAAAGTGTCTACATAGAATAACTGAGAAAGAAGATGCTACGAAGTCTTTCAGCTCGCAAGAGGTAGTAACCAAAACGAAATGTATGTTTAAATTAATATTTCCATATATTTTTTATCTAATATTAAAAACTGCATTTCTACAAGTCTACCTACAATCCTCATGCAACTTTTCTTCTTAAAAAGCTTTGATTCGCCTAAATCATACTTTCTTTTTTAATCTTCAAGATGAAAAGGAACAATTACATCTGATATGTCAGAAGCCCTTGATAAAAACACTCAGGGTCAGTTTACAGAAGTTGTCCTAAGGTCATTTTGTAATTTGAAGTCCTCCAAAAGCATCAGGAATGAAACCAGAAGAACTGTGTCCCAGAACTCTGTCTTACATAAACCATGTAATTTGGGGGAAATCATTTGACATTCTGGTTTCAGTTTTCTTACCTCTGGAAGGGTAGAGCAGTGGTTCTCAAAGTGTGGTCAAAAGCTGCCCTGTGGGTCCCTAAAACATTTTCAAGGAGTCCATGAGGCGAGAACTGTTTTCGTAAAAATTCTCAGACATTATTTGTCCTTTTCAGTCTCAATCTCTCATACGGTGGGGTGTGTCAGAAGCAAGGTGGCATTTCCACAATCATCTGAAAAAACTACTAAAGCATTCCTCCCTTTGTGAGGCCAGATTTCTTTCTATATTTTAAGCAAAACAACATATCACAATGGAATCAATGGAGAGGCAGATTGGAGAACCCAGCTGTCTTCAATGGAGCCAAATATTAAAGCAATTTGCAAAAATGTAAAACCATGGCATACTTGCTAAATATTTTTGTTTTGGAATATATAGTGACTTTTCATAAAAATATATTATTTAAGATGTAATGAGTTTATCATTGTTTTTTTTTTTTTTTTTCACGTAGGCTCCACACAGCGTAGAGTCCAACACAGGGCTTAAACTCACGACCCTGAGATCGAGACCTGAGCTGAGGTCAAGAGTTGGATGCCCAACCAACTGAGCCCCCAAGCATCCTATCATTATTTTTTTTTAAAGATTGTATTTATTTATTTGACAGAAAGAGAGAGAGATCATAAGTGGGTAGAGAGTCAGGCAGAGAGAGAGGTGGAAGCAGGCTCCCTGCTGAGCAGAGAGCCCGATGTGGGGCTCGATCCCAGGACACCGAGATCACGACCCGAGCCGAAGGCAGCGGCCCAATCCACTGAGCCACCCAGGCGCCCCTCCTATCATTATTTTTAAATGACAATACATATCTTTAATTTCTCAAATTTAATTTCTAGTATGGAAATACCAATAGGTATAACCCACATAAGCAAAAGCTCTCTAGGGTCCTCAATAATTTTTATTGTAAAGAGGCTCTGAGACCAAAAAGTTTGAGAATAGCTGAGATAGAATTCCCAGCTCAAAAATTCAATGACTTGGTAAATAACTGCGCGGAAGAAAGGTTGGCTCTCTTTTCCTCTTTTTTTGTTTCATTTTGGTTTTTTTTCTTGAGTTGAACACATTCTTTGCATTTCTCCTTATTTTTGCAGCACAATATTTGTAATAAAATTGCAAAAAAATGCACATTCCCACAATTCTCATCTTGCTATATTTCTCTCCAAATGTATATATGCTTCTATGTAATTACGTACATAAGGCAGGCAAAAATATATAATGTTTTTTCACTTAACTTTTTATTAAATATTGTTTTGCTACAAAGGTCTTCATTTCTAATCATTTTAACAGCAGCCTGGTCCACTGGGCAGACACACTGTGATTTATGTCTGCCTTTCTCTATAAAACACTGAGGCTGTTTTTATCCTTATGTGTATTCATCTCTTCTCTTGGAAGTAAGCATTTCTTTTTGTCACCTACCTCCAGGCCCTTTGTTATTCTAAGCCTCAATACTGACACTTACTACCTACCCCTAGCCATTCTCACCTCCCTCCCTCCACCCATGACTACATTTTCCCTGTTTTAAAGGGAGACAGGGACCATCTCTTAAAAATGAGAAATCCAGTATCACTAAAGTAACATGAGAAAACAATTAGTTTAGCATTGGATCATGATAGGTGCAATTTCCAAACTCGTTATTTCCATTAAAACCTCTCATTTCAGGGTGCCTGGGTGGCTCAGGTCATGATCTCAGGGTCCAAGGTCCTAGGATCGGGCTCTCTGCTCAGTGGGGAGCCTGCTTCCCCCTTTCTCTGCCTGCCTCTCTGCTGACTTGTGATCTCTCTCTCTGTCAAATAAATAAATAAAATCTTAAAAAAAAAAACCTCTCATTTCCTTATGGATGACAGGTAAGTATTACCCATTGCCTTAACTTACTTGATAATCAATTAAACTATGTATGACACATAGCTAATAAACTTGAAAACATTTTTTAAATCTTCCCGATTAAAAACATTTTTATACAAACTTCTGCGCAGAGTTAGAAATATTCTGTCCCGGGGCGCCTGGGTGGCTCAGTTTGGTTGAACAACTGCCTTCGGCTTAGGTCATGATCCCGGAGTACCAGGATCAAGTCCCACATCGGGCTCCCAGCTCCACAGGGAGTCTGCTTCTCCTCTCTAGTGCTCTTTCACTGTCTCTCTCTCTCTCTCAAATAAATAAATAAATAAATAAATAAATAAATAATATCCCATCCAACCAGGGCAAACATACATTAACTGGTTATGGGACCAGTGCT